AATTTTCGAAAAATCGTTTTTTTGGAATAACTTTTAAACGGCTTTACCGATTGATTCCAAAAACTGATCAGCTCTTAACCTTGAAAAACCACGTCGATTGCCACCAATCCCATCAAAATCGGTTAATTTGTTCGAGAGTTATCAAAAACGAAAAATTTTGAAAAAAGTTTTTTTTTCACATAACTTCGACATTTCTTTTCGGATCGTTTTTGACGACATGAAATAATTATTAGAGCTCAAAAAATTACGTCGATCACCACGAAGAACGTAGAAATTGGTTGATTGGTTCGTGAGTTATCGTTGTCGATAAAATTCGGAAAAAGTGAATTTTTCAAATTTCTCTAAGAATTTCGGTTCGATCAGTTTGTGTTCAAAAGTCTATCATAGATTCTGAAAAAGTGCGTGGATTACTGACAACCACGTGAAAATCGATTCATTCATTTAGAAATGATTGTAGTTTGAAAATTCAAAAAATACTGTTGTATTAAACTTCTATCAGGCTTTTGAGCTCGAAGAGCTCTGAACCATACAAGAGGTAATTCTTTGAGCTCGGAGAGCTCAAAATAACACACAAATTGTATTTTTGAGCTCGAAGAGCTCAGAAACGTCATAAGTGCAATTTCAAGCGTTTAGGTGTGGAATTGGCGGGAAGTTGCAGGGATGGCCTTTAGGGTCAACCGTTTTCCAGATTTTTTTGCATAGCTTCAGAAATTCTTATCTGATGATTTTTCAAATAATTAGTGATCTTTTTGTTCACGAAAAATTGCATCTAATGCTATACAAACCCCGTTGAGAATGAATGATTCGTTCGAGAGAGATCCCAATTCAAAGTTTTTAAAAAATTGGTTTTCTATCAATCACTCCATAACCTAGCTTTCCGAGCTCAGAAATGTATGAAAGTTGTATTTTTGAGCTCGGACACAGCGGAAAGTTTCAGAAATGGCCTGTAAGGTCAACCGTTTTCCAGATTGTTTATAACGGGATATTCGATTTTTATGCCGTATGTGACGAAGAAATGTTTGAACACAAACATTGATGCATTGGCTAAAAAATCGATTAGTTAATAAATTTTGAAAATATCACAAAAAAGTAGAAAAAAAATTTTACAATACCTTTAATAGTTGATCAATGTGCTTCAAAATCCAATCGTATATATAACTTGAATTTTAAAAAAGCCCTAATCGGCTTCAGCCGTTATGGAAAAGTAGATTTTAACAAAGAAAACATACTCACATCTCTTTCCATTCAAAAGTAACTCTCGGATGAAGTCACCGAAATCGTGATTTTCAATATTTTGAAAATATTTAGATGGCTCCCATTTCTTAACTAATCAATCGATTTTGCTCATCTTTGAACTTATCCAAGGTTATAGTCTGAGAAATAAATTTATTAAGAGTAGGCTGTAGTAAATAATTTTTAGAAATTTGATTTATCTAATTACGTCTTAAAAAAATAATATATGACTAGCTATTACGGTAACTTTATAATAGTTCATTTAACGGTTTTTGAAAAAAAATAATTAGAAAGAAAAAATTACTGAAAATACACTTACTACAGCCTAGCTTTAAGTTTCATTAAGATCTGTTGTATATTGTAGAAGTTATCACGGCAACATGTCACATTATATTACATATATAAATTTTTAACCTTACTTAACTATTTAGGAGATTATAAGAAAATACTTAAGTAAATTTTAACATAACGACCAATGCGATAGATAGCTGTCTAGGTGAAATCCACCTACAAATTCTGCTCAAGAAATAACTTGACTCTAGACAATCGGACAGCAGTACCGAGCGGATGCCGTCACAATTACATGTAACTAATATTAGGCTTAGCAACTTAAAGGTTTTCGTAGTTGCACTTACTCATGAGAACATCGTCCGAACTAGATTCTAGTTCAATCGTAAGTTTATTTTTCAAATTGAAATGGTTTTTAAAAATGAAGAAGCGATTATTTTATTCAAGTGTGCAATTATTTTATGGCTTAACTGAAGCATTAGGTAAACGAAAATATTCTCTTTATTAACTATTCATAAATAACTCCAAGGAATATAAGATGTATGTTGTGTTTCAAAAGAGTACCGGAAGTAACGACTGTAAAATCACAAATACAGAATAATTACTTTTGCAGCTGCAAATGTTCTTTATTTATTTCTGACTGCTTGTGTTATTATTCATGAACTGCATTTTGTATTTTGTATTGATGCTACCATTATGTTTGATAATAAAATTGTTTTTTAACGTTTTTTACTACATAATATTTTTTACTAAATAGTTTTTTAAGTGGATCCAAATGGTAATAATCTGAAGAAAAAAATTATCTTCAATAATTTTCTTATTATGATTTTATTATAAATAAAAATGGCCATTCATCATCTGAAATGGAAGTAGACTTCTTAACACTAAATATTTTGAATGTTCCTGCAATCAACTTTAAACTATGATTGAAGAAATAAAAGTTGTTAACAAATAAAAAGTAAAAATTGTAACTTAGAGCTTATCTTATCAACATTTACTTAAAATTCACATAAATGAGCTTACTCTTGCTATTCAAAAGTTATTTTATTGAAACACTAGATAAATAGCTTATATTGTATGTTTTTTTATTATTAATCTTCATAAAATCACTAAAAATGATTTTAAAGTATAAGCTTAAGTCAAATTAAACAACATCATCAGTTTCAACGTGATTTTTCTGAAATGAGGTATCTTTTCGGTCAAAAGTTATTCACAAATAAAGTCATGGAAATCGCAATTTTCGCTATTTTGAAAGTTTCAAATGGCCACCACTTCTAAACTGATTGACCGATTTTGTTCTTCTTTGAACACGTTCAAAGTATTTACCCAAAGAAGAAGTGTAACCAGTTTAATAAAGATCCCTCTAAAATAGCGGGCGCTATCGTGATGATGAGCTACATTATATTCCACATATATTTTTATATGAGACATTCCATGCCAAATATTGGACAGTTTAAAAAATTTTTTTTCGATTATCGTCATTTATCTTATCAATTTAGTTCAGAATTTCGCAATTTTTGAATATTTGAATAGAGTTCGAGAACATGAATTGTTAATTAATATTATAGACTTTTCAATATATGAAAATAGTACAAATTGTTTATACTGTCCACAGCTAACACTGAAATCCGTGCCGTAGCTTTCTGGAAAGCAAGAAGAATGTTACAGGATAACAGTGGAATCTATTATAACGATTGGTATCCTGGTGGAAATAACATTGTAACACCAACATATCTTGGGCACCCGCCATTTATGGGAGGAGGAGTAGCACCATCGCCTACATCTGTACATCTTGGACCTCTTCCACACTTACTGAATGCTCAAGTGCTTGCAAATAGACTACCTTCGAGCCCAGACAGCCCTCCTGAAGAACCAACAACGTAGTTCAGGCAAGTTATTAATCATGATAAGTAGATAAAAAGTTAGTTTAAACCCCTGTTTGAAATATGTTAAACACACTAAGAAAAAAAAATACTTTTACTCAATTAACAATTTCTTGGTTCAAGAAACTCGCTGACGATCAAATATTCTATTATTATTAATTATTAATTTCTGAAGAGAGGAGCATCAATGTTTATGTTTGGATAATAGATAAACAAAAGAATAGCTTTATTTGAATTAAGTAAAAATTATTTCAATCTTAACAAGTGTTTTTTTAACATAATTCCGACATTTCTTTTCGGATCGTTTTTGATGTAATGACATAACTATAAAAGCTCAAAAAACCACGTCGATTTTCTCCAAGAACGTCGAAATCGGTTGATTGGTTTGTGAATTATCGTTGTTGAAGAAATTCGGAAAAAGTGAATTTTTCAAATTTCTCCAAAATTTTCGGTCTGATCAATTCGTGTTCAGTAGTAAATCATAGAATTCAAAAAACTGCGTGATAATCGGTTTATTCATACAAAAGTAATGGCAGTTTGAAAATTTTAAGAATAGTGTTTTATTAAACTTCTATCAGACTTTTGTGCTCGAAGAGCTCAAAAACAAAGAACAGCTAACTTTTTGAGCTCGGAGAGCTCAAAATAATATATAAATTGCATTGTTGAGCTCTAAGAGCTCAAAACGTAATAAGTACAATTTTAAGCACCGAGATATGGAATTCAGGGTCAACCGTTTTCTTAATTTTTTAAATTATTTTTTATTTTATGAAAAAGGGGCCATTACACTCTTAGTGCGACAGATGAAACGTTAAATTAATTGAAAAAATAGAGGATAAAAGAATATAATTCTAAGTATTCTTTTTAAATTAAACTTTTTTTAGCCTAAAATTAATTATTATAGAATTTTGAATTCTTGAAGTCTTTTATACTGGATAGAAAAACAATTTTCTAAAATAAAATCGCACTATAAGTATTTTCGGGATAGTCTACGAGGTTAACCATTTTTTAGATTTTTTAAAATGACATTTGAATAGTCGAGTGCCTGATTATTTTATGAAATACATCTCAAAGTGCTCACATCAAATTTTAATTTTTTTTCTTTGTTTATTTTAAATCATTTATGCTCCAATTATTTATAAAAAACTATAAAACTGTAAAAAAAATTATATTTACCAGCCCTGAAAAAATAGCTCTTTTTAAAATTCAAGATAAAAAAATTTGACAAAAAGAATAAATTATTCTATAATTGATACTATCTTTATGCTTAAAAATTTGTTCAAAGTTCACCCAGACTAACTCTTACCTGTTCAGAAAGTATGTACAATTAAAGAGATTGTGGACTAAAAGTCCTATTGCAAAAAATTTTATTCTTTGTTTCTTGTATTTATCCATTCCATTTATCCACTTTATTTTTTTTAGCTGTTTAATGATGTTAAATAAATTTAAATGGAATAAAAATATATAATATTTCAAAGAATATTAGTAAAAGAGAAAAAAATATTTAAAAAGATAAAAACAACGTATTAAAGAAGAATGCAAAGTAAAAAGAATAAAATAAGGGCAATGCTGCACGCTATTTGATTAGCTAATTTCAACGTTGCTTCACAACACAACAATCTTTAACTCTCTACATTATAAATGTAAAATATGAAAATAAATAAATTTCTTAAAATCGATTTTTGATAATGATCTTCGAAAAATGTTTCAACAATAAAATACATATAAATATAGATCTCATCAATATCATACGCCTCCTACGCTTTTTCATTTGTTCAACAATTATTTTTTTTTTATTCGTAAACTAAGTCTTCCTTTTATTCGATTTAACATAAAATTATAAGATACAGTTCAGAACATCGTTGCACGCAAGGTTACTCGTCAGACTTTTACGAAGTCGCACTTACAAAAAAATTATTCGCTGTTCGAGCACAGCTTGTAGATGCAATATCGCAAACGATGACGACTGAGCGAATTTACTAGTTGTCACATAAAATAGGATAGTTTACAATGCATGAATAAAATGAGCAAAAAAATAAAAGTAAGAAAATATAGCCATAAAAATTTTAAAGGAGATAAAAATATATAAGAGACGGTTTCACAAAGAAGAGGTGGAGAAGATAAGAAGGGGAGAAGTAAAGGATAGTAGATGGGTGGAATCCAGGAAAAATATAAAGAAGAAGTGGGAGACGAAAAAATCTGCAAGCAGTAAAACCAAGATCATTTACGACGATCGTTAAAATCGCTCTAAGCGGTCTGTTTGATTACACTGATGCTGCTTATAACAGCCTCTGACTCTTTTTTGGGTATTTCGATTTTTTTTTAATTTCTTTTTCTCAATATTTTTTCAATTGATTTCATAAAAAAATTTCAACGCATAGTAATCATAAATATAAATCAATACATTTACTTCAATCATATAATAGTGTAAGACGTTAACATCAATAAAAGATACAACTAACAAGTTTTTTGTCACGAATTAAAGTTCATTATTATTAATAATTATGATAATAACTTTAAAATATATCTTATTGAGATTTATAAGTAGACCTTAATAAACTTAATATTTTTTGTCTTTTGCTTTCAGATTATTCTGATACCAATGAAAAACGCTCAATATCAGCAGTCAAAGGTTGAATTCTATTGGATCATCTTGCAACTATGCATCTATATGAATCAGTCAACTCATTTATTTATAATATTATTGATAAACTAAGATGTCTCGAAAGGAATGAACAATTATTAATTACACTTAAATTATTCGCTCAATTTCTACTATATGTAATACATTTATAAGAAAAAACTCTCAGTTTAAATTCTATCCTTAGTGTTAAAAATTTTAAAAATAAATGAAAGCTATTGCAATATCATCTTTTTATTTATATTAGAAATTAAAAATGTAAATAATGGACTCTTAAATATTAATTTTGTTTATTATATTATAACTATATCTAGATGACATGTAGAGTTTGAATAATATTACGTGGGCCAATACCTTATATTAAAAAACTGGTAGAATTGAATTGAATGCCATAATTTTTGTTGTTAGATATTAATTAAGATCAAATTTATGTTTTTTTTTTTTTTTTTCAAGATTTTGTAAGCACGTTAAGAAATCGATAATTAGCGAGTTAGAAAAAAATTTTATGAACTATACTGTACAAATATACAGAACTCAATAGTCAAAAATTTGAATTTTTTACCACAATAAAGAAGCTTCTGTTATATGATCAATTTTACTTCAATACATTTGGCTTACTATTTTTGTTTGCTAATATCTGAATATAACTATATGTTGCTATTACTATATTTTAATATGGCAATTCTCACAAAAAAATAAAAATAAAAACGAAGATTCCATACTTTTCGATAATTTTTTATGAGTTGCAGGATAAAAGTACAGTTTGTGGCCAATATACCTTTCTTAGCCTCTTTATGTCCAGATTACTGAATAAATAACTCTATTAACGCAAAATATTATAAATTGAGTTTATATAAATGTAAAAGTTTAAAAATTCTATTATAGTTACTTATATCACACGGCCGCAAAGTAGCGATTTACCGACAATCCTGGCGTTGCGATCTGAGTCTAAAGTTTGCGTTTCGAATTTCCAAAAACAAGTGTATATCCGACGTCCAAAGCAAAACCTTTTTCTCGAAATATCTCTTAGAATGACGTGAGAATCATGACACCAAAAAGTTTTTGATTATTGAAAAATTTCAAACTAAAATGTTGGAGCTTTGAAATGCATTTTTTTTTAATTTCCATAGAATCATTTTTCACTAAAATACAAATCGTCAAATACAAAAAGTTCTCTTCCTTTTCCTTATTTTTTACGAGAGGTGAATATTCCCTGATACATCATTACTCGCTAAAAATTAATCATTGGAATTTCAGTGATTCGAAGTGAAATTGTCATTCACTGGTTAAATCAATGAAATTCCTCTGATTCATTTTAAGAGAGTACATTTTCATGAATCTGTTATCTATGTTAATTTAATTATATGTAATTGACTGATGATAACCTACGTTCTGATAAAAAATTAATCATATTTGTGGCTGGAAGTCATTTACTTATCAGTCCTCGATAATGAGGCATTTTTACTTGAGCAAATTTGATTACAAGCTCTGTTTCGTTCAAGTATCCAAATAAAATACTCGCTACCAAATTTCCAAGTATAAATTTTTGAATAAACTTGTTTCATTTAATTATAGAGATCTTTAAAATAAGTCACACACAAAACGCGAATAAAAACAATATAAATTTAAGTTGTCAGTTTTATAAGGACATTCATCTTCATGCGTTTACCTACAATCAAATAAATACAAACTTTTACAAAAACATTTAGGAAAAAAATTTTAATGTATATAAATATGGATTATTTATTGATTTGACCCTCATTGATGTATTAAACTTGGCAACACCGTCTTTTTTAACCATATCATCAGCTGTACATCAAGAGGAATTATTGGACAGATTTAACAATAACATATACAGTGAAACCTGAATAAGCATAACCCCGATAAGTGAGAAACCTCTTTAACTGAGACTTTTTATTCAGACCCCGGCACTTTCATAGCGAAAAACATTTTTAGTAGATTTCATAAAAATCTAACTATTGCAGCCGTCCTCATGGCGCAACTTTTAAAAAATTAAGTCATTTTCTGACTTAGTTTGTCGAGCTGAGTCAGAAAATGTATATAGTTCAAAAGTTTATATATGTATGTTGCATTTTACCGATTTTTAATATCTTGTTTAGTTCAGTAATTATTCCAAGTTGAAGTAGTAAAAACATCGATTTTCAAAATTTCAAAATCCTGTCATTTCCAAATTACTCGCCCGATTAAGCTCATCTTCGAACTTAACCTTCGTCTTGATCAATAGATAAAGCATGTTGAGTTTGAGAAGAATCGGTTATAAATTGAAAACGTTATCGTGCTGACAAGCCGCGTTATATCGTATATATATATATATATATATATATACAATATAACGCGGCTTGTCAGCACGATAACGTTTTCAATTTATAACCGATTCTTCTGAAACTCAACATGCTTCATTTATCGATCAAGACCAAGGTTAAGTTCGAAGATGAGCTTAATCGGGCGAGTAATTTGGAAATGACAGGATTTTGAAATTTTGAAAATCGTAAAAATTGATGTTTTTACTACTTTAACTTGGTATAATTATTGAACTAGACAAGATATTAAAATTTGGTAAAATGCATCGTAAAGCTCTTTTAATAAGCTTCAATTTTCACTACTTAGAAGTAGTAATAGCCTCAATATTACTCCTTTTAGAGTTCGTTTAATGATACAGTTTTACTGTTGCAGCCGTTTTAGAATTATTGACAGTATTTTTTTTTTATATGAATATGGTATAAAATTACTAATTGTGATATTGATCAGTCACTCGTGTAATGTATTCGGATAAATCGTTTGTAATCTGACACAGATTTCCACATCACCCATGAGGTACTGTGTAAACGAATGCGTTCCCTTTTTTTTACATGGTGGGTCCCCAGTAGGCTTAAACCATGATATAATTTCAAATATACAATCCAAAATATTTTAGTTCTAAAATTTTTTTAGGAATATTTCTATATTTCATTTTTTTGAAAATTATTTACACTTTTTTCTTGTTAATTACTACAATAAACTTATGAATTATATAACTAATTGTTACTTATTTCTGATGATGTTGAAGTTAGCTGAAAAAGTTTAAAAATAACAAAAAATCAATTTCAGTTTCGAGAAAACTGCTTTTTTCGAAATGTCGAGAGTAGAGCACAACCTCAACGCTTCGCTTATGAGGCGTGCAAAATTTAATATTAATTAATTTCAGAGTTATCGTTAACTCGTTTTCTGTGTTAAAAAAGAATTTTATATATATTTAAATTTATACTTTTGAACTTCATAAGTTTAGAATGAAAAAGTGACAAAGTCATTAATTTTAATGTTTGGCATTTTGATGATAATAGTGAATGTATTTTAAAAAAATAAAATTAATTTTCTAATCTAATAATAATAATAAAGTTAGCCGACGATTTTAATTTTTTGATTTTTTTTAATAATTAAATTATAACAAAAAAATTTTTTTTTTTTAAATTACACTTAATTTTTTTAAAGTTATTTATAAGTGAAAATTTTTTTATTAACTTCCCGTTAAAAATTTTCAAAAATCGGAAAGTTATTGTTATTATTATTATTATTATTATTATTATTATTATTATTATGTAACAGGGCACTTTGCCCCTGATCGATAAAATCGATCGCGAGTGATAATAATTCGACGCAGCACTGGCGTCTCGATCTTCGGGACCCGATAAGACCCGACTAGTAGTAAGTGGGAGGGGGTATTTCGGGGATCCATTAAATAGCTGAGCAGTGCGTTGTGTCGGGAGAAGTGGGGAAGTAGTGTAGTGCTCAAATCAGTAACATCAAGGAGTCCAAGAAGGAAGCCAGTAGCAACCAAGGAGTTCCTTCAAACCAAATCGACGCCAGGTATTGGACTTTGGTAGTGATGAGCTAAGGGGTTCACACCCAGCTCATGGAAAATATTACTTCTCGTTTAATTAATTAATTTATATATATTTATCGTTTTGGAAAATTGTTTGGGTAATTATTCGGAACAATTTTAATTACCGGAATTGATTATTGAGAAAACTGCGTCGCATTTCGAAACTTAGGACCGTGGATATTTTTTTGAAATTACTTTTTCACTCTGAAGTGAATTATTTAAAATCTAACCGTTATTCGCTAGTTACTAGAAATTTATTATTCCACGTGTTATTAATTGTTGAGAACTAATTTATTAAATTTCGACGCAAATAAGACTAAACACCCGCAGAAAAATTGAGGCACGTAATTTTCATATTGAGTAAAATTATAATTTTTTATCTAATTTGATTGCCAATTTCTGCCAGGGGAGTCTTATATTGAATTCATACCAATGATTTTGTTAGCATCATTATTCCGGTAAAATTTTATTATAAAACTAATTATTCGTATGGATTAAGTCCGAGTAAAATTTAGTCAAATTTACAAAAGACTGTTCTAAGAATTTGTGAATGCGTAGAGATAAGCTCGTGTTCAAAATGGCGGAAAAAGAAGCGTCGGTTTAAGCCGGAATTTTAAGAAAGGAATTTGTTTAATTTGTGAGAATAAATCATAGGGTTTTAATCCAAGCTAATGACTGAAGTATTTTAGAAAAATTAACGTTGTAAATTTTTGGAGTTAATTTTGTAGTCCGGAAATAAAAATAAGAAAGTAGAATCAGTGTGTGTGACGCGTGGGTAATGTGTGTGAAGATCGTGTGGGGTGTGTGTGTGTGCGATTGTACGCGTTCTCTACTTGTTGATGAATTGCCGAGTGGAGCAATTCGTACAGTCCTAGAGCGTGAGGGTCCGGTGGACAGCGCGACGTAGTTAGAAACCGCAGTATAGACGCTCCGTATGAGGGTACTGCGGGAATAGGAATCTTTTTTTTGACGAACCCTACTTGTTGATGAATTGCCGAGTAGGACGACTAGGACTTGGTGCGACGTCTTCTGCTTGTTGATGAATTGCCGAGCAGAGGATTAGCATTAAGTGGAGTAGCCGGTTCCAGCCCGAAACCCTCCAGTAGTCATAAGTTGTAGTAGCGACTCCCCGGTGGGGAGCGTGAAGTAAGAGACCTTAGTATTAAGTCGTAGTGTTAAGTGGAGTCGCCGGTTACAGCCCGAAATTCTCTAGTAAATTTAAGTGAGTAGTGTAAGTGAGTTGAGGAGTGTA